GGCACTGGAGATGCTGCCACCACCCACCCCTGCCTAGGGCCCTATCCTGTGCCCAGCCCCGAGACCTGGGGAGGGACCGTTTGCGTGGGCCTCCAATGTTACGATGCAGATGAGAATGGGGCCTAGAGAGGGTGAGGACCTGCCAGAACCCACCTGACCCGTCCACGCTTCTCCAGGACCCTCTCCTCCCAGCCCTGCTACACCATCACCCTCAGCTCCCCAGGAGGTGGGAATTGATGGGGGAACTGAGGCCTGGAGTATCCCAGGGGTCCTGCCAGCTGCCAGAGTCCAGTTTCAGGGCCCAGCCCTGCCATGCCCACTCAGAGCTGGAGCTCTCTCTCACTTGAGCCACCACCGGCCCCAGGGTTGGGTAGGGTCTGCAGAGAACTCGGGTCACCCCTGGCACTACCTCCAACCCAGCCTGCCTCGGCTGCTGGCTTGGACCCCCTGCCTGGCTGGTCACGTGGGTGTGCGGAGGCGTAGGGTACTGGGTAGATATTACCACACCTGCGGTATTACTTCTGTGCTCAGGACTCAGGGTGGGGACAGAGCCCAACCCAGGCTGTCCCTCCCCACATAAGCCCGTCTCTGTGTGCTGGGGGTTGCTATAGGCCCACGTGTCCTGGGCCTATGGGGTGGGATGGGATGGGATGGGGTGGGGTGGGGTTGGGGGCAGGGCAGCTGGGGCTCGGCAGGCAGGTCGGGAGGCTGGCAGCTACCCTCTTCAACAAAATCACTGATGCTGGAGTCACCTGAGTCATCACTCAGCACCAGGATATTGTTGGAGAGGACGGCCGTGCGGCATCTGGGGCTGGCGGGGCCACATGTCCTTCGCCACTTCTTCCAGCATGTACCCCCGGGGTCCCCAGGGGCTGGGCATCCTGGCCCGAGCAGGACAGAACCCTCCCTCCAGGGTTCTGCGAAGCAGGGCCTGCTAAGCCCTCCCTTTGGGACTTGAGGGAGACAGAGTGTGGGGTTGGCGTGGGGCTGCAGGGTGGTGGCTGACTGCCTCGGGGACAGAGAACAGGCCAGCTTGACAGTGCGCATTTCTTCGTCTAAACCTGCAAAGTGGGTGTCAAACCATTGTCTTCCCAATTTTTCAAAAATGTCATAAAATCCCTTTGTATAGCGGTTGTTTGATGCTGCATGAGATGAACCTGGCCGGTCCTCGCAACCCCCTTGCGGCAGGACCCGCCCCTATGCCCTTCCTTCAGGGGAGGGGCCGAGGCCCAGAGAGGGCCCCAGTCCAAGGGTTACAGCAGGGAGGGGCCCTGGCCTAGGGCTTCCTGGCCACTGGCCCGCGCCCGCCCTCACCTGTGCACGTAGTTGTTCCGATGCAGGTGCAGGACGCCACAGGCCACCTCACAGGCCATGCGCTGCAGGGTCAGGGGGTCGGGCGCCATGGACTCCGCCACCCGGCAGCTCCGCAGGTAGCCCTTGAGGTCCCCCTGCAGAAAGGGGGCATGGCGCAGTCACCAGCAGACTGGGGACTGGCCACCCTGGAAGGTCCCTGCCTACCTCCCCAACTCCTCCACCCCTACCCACAGCTGACGGACAGCAGCTGCCCAGAGCAGCCCCGCGCCCTGCACAGTGGCTGACACCCAACAGTTCCTGGAGAGGGGCCGTGTCCACCAGGGCTGGGCTGGACTGAAGGCTCCCTCTCCACTGCCCCTCAGCCAGCCCTGGGCAGCAGGAGTCCCTTGGCCTGTGGTACAGAGAGAAACGCAGGGCCCCGGTGGATCTGCTTGATGGAGCCTGGGGCTGGTGGTCGAGGATTGGTCGGCAGCCCCTGACCTGCCGAAAGCTCAGCTCCTGGGAGGGCCAACGTTAGGAATCCAGACGCCAATGTGTGAGGGCCCCTGTCCCAAGGGAAGCCAGCCGGGGACCCAGCCCAGCCGCGGGCAGGCCCGGCTCAGTGCAGGAGCTGTGTATGTGCAAGGGGGTGGGGGGCAGGTCCCTGGCGGGGGTGGGTCCCTGGGGGGTGGTGGTGATGGGCAGGCCCAGGACTCCAGGCAGCCTGGGGAAGTGGCCATCCCCAGTCCCCCATGACAAACTCAAGCCTGAGTGAGGCCGTGGAGCCCCAATGGAGCAGTGGCCCCCAATTGGCCCAGGATGCCTCCTCCTGAACCACAGGGCACACAGGCAGGTGAGCAAGCAGCTGGCAGCTCCCCAGGGGTGCAGGGAGTCCCAGCCCAGGCCTGTCCTGTGCCCAGCCCCCACAGTCCCTCCCCAGTGAGGCTGGGTCTCCCCATGGCCTCCTCTGGAAGGCAGTGGGGTAGGGTCCCTGGGTCTTGGCTTTAGGGAGGATGTGAGGCCCCCAGGGAGGGGGTGGCACCAGACACTGGCAGGGCAAGGGAGGGCCCCGGCTCAGCAAAGGCCCCTGGTCCCCCTGGGCAGCAGCTCACCAGCGGGCAGAACTCCATCACCAGCAGGTAGGGCGTCACCTCGGCACACTGGGCCAGGCACTGGAGCAGGTTGCTGTGCTTCAGGGCCCTGCAGGAGTGGACAGGCGGCCCCTGACTTGGGAGGAGCAGGGGAGGGGGAGGCGGGCCGAGCAGGGGAGGGGGAGGAAGGGGTCGCACAGTGTGGGCCTTTGTGCCCGATGGCCTCCCACCTGTAGGGCTGCACCTCCTCCAGGAACTGCATCTGCTCCTGCACGCTGGCGCTGGCCTGCAGCTCCTTCACCACCACCTGGGCACTGCTGACGCCAGAGTTCACCTCCCCCAGGAACACCTGTGGGACAGCGTCACCCGCGGCTGCTCCGCCTCCACAGGCCCCGGCTTCCAGGCCTTACTCTTCTCCCACCCGCCCCACCCTGGCCCCCAGGACAGGCCCCTTCTCCTCCTGTGCCCAGTCCATTCACTGCAGTGCGGGGTGTGGGTTCCGGAACCCTCCCGGCGACCCTCTGGCTGTAATATTCTGAGTCTTTTGTGTTATATCTCTCCCCAAAGTCTCCCGCTGCTCGCTCTCTCTCTCTCTCTCTCTCTCTCTCTCTCTCTCTCGGGGTTTGAAGTGAGGAAGAGGGACCCAGCTGTCTCGTTTAGGCCAGGATTGGGGGAAGGCCAGGACCAAGAGCCTGCTCCTCTCCCTCCCAGGACCCCCTAGGGAGAAGGGGATGCAGCCAGACTCTGAGGAGGGATCCAGCAGGGCCCAGGGACCAGAGAAGGGACCCTCGGGGCTGGGGTGGCTCCCAGGAAGAGCAGGTCTGCATCCCTGTGTCCCTTCTGCCTACCAGGCGACAGCCCTCTCTCCCAGGTGGGACACATACCTTCCCAAACCAGCCATGGCCGATTTCCTTCAGGTATAGGAGGCTGTGCCGGCCCAGGTCCGTGGACTTGAGGAGCTGCACTGTAACCAAGCAGGGGGCTCAGGGACCCAGTGCGGCCTTCACACCCCCCAGCTTCCTCACCTGGCCCCTAGAGGGACTGCCCGCTTGGCCTGTTCTGGGAAACTGTCCTGAGTCCCCAGCACCAGCTGGCAGCCTTGGGGCTAGCATCAGGAGCCAGGGTCTCTCGAGATCAGGGGCTGCTGCTTCCCAGAAAAGCCACGGAGCTGCAGGCTCCATCCGGGCATCTTTCTGGATAGGTCTGGAGAAGGTGCCTGAAGCCACCGGAATAGCTGGGCGAGGGACAGCAGGGCCCGGAGCCGGACCCGCCACATGGGCTGTACCAGGCAGGCAGTGTGGCTGAGCGAGAGGCTGGGGCCACGGCACAGGGAGGGCACTGGAGCGGCCCACCCCCACCCTGCCGCAGGCTGGCATCCCACGCCAGGCACACCAAAGGCTCCTTTGTTGGGGGCTGCTTGGCACAACCCCGCACGGAGCACACTGGCCCATTCTCCCTGAGGGCCAGGCCGGGTGAGGTCAGCGGGAGGAAGGGTCAGTGAGGCCCGGGAGGAAGGGGCCAGCGCTGGCAGAGCCCACTGATGCCTGCCCACGCCCCGAGGGATTCCCCGAATTCTGCTCCCACGCCAACTGCCCAGAGGGCTGACGGGGCTGGGTCTGAGCCCAGCTGCCAGGAGAGCCCAGGGGGAGGGGGCTCCTTCCAGGGCCCAGAGACCCAGAAAATGTAGAGGTGGGGCAGGGCAGAACTGAGCATGTGGGCCCACCGGGCGCTGTGTCCCGAGCCCAGCCTGTCTGGACAGCCCTCTTTCACCCTCGGGCGTCCAGGCCCACACTGTCCCTGAGCAAGTGTGGGGGTCCTGACCGTGGGTGCTGAGACAGTCCAGAGGCCCTGGGCACTGCCGGAGGCGGCCGTCCTTCTCTGCGGTCCCTAGCGGGTGGGGCCATTGCCCAGGTTTCTCCCTGCTGACCTCTGGGGCTGCTCTTCTGGCCTCACCCCAGTCTCTCTCCTCTCTAGAAGCACATGCCCCCCGGAAAACTGAAACCAGAGCTCTAAACGTAGAGAAACAGGTAACCACTGCCTTCTTCCAGGTCCCTGTCCGCTGACCCCCATCCCCAGGACGGTCCTCCAGAGGTGGCTCGGAGAATCTGCAGGGGCACATACCTGCCCCTGGACCCAGGGGCAGTAGCCCCTTGGATGGTCCCTGGCAGCTCCCAGCAAGGTCAGCACAGGGCTCAGGGACCCCCGCAGCCATCCGGGAATGTCAGAGGGCCTCGTGCGCTGAGTGGGTGGCTGCAGTCTTTCGCGCCCGGCCACAGATGTGCTCACAGCTCAAGTGCCAGCCCTGATTCCTGCCTAACTGGGAACCTGTCCTCCAGGAGACGGGGCAGAGTAGGACAGGCGCTGAGGCCCTGGCTCCGAAGCTGGGGGCTGGGGGCCCTCTCTAGGTCCCAGACCAGTGCCTTGGGTGCCAGGCTGCCACGATGAAGGCGAGGCTCGCAGGGCCCAGCCAGGCACGGCTCAGAGCCAGCTCTCAGGGTCCAGCCAGGCACAGCTCAGAGCAGGTGAGGCAGCCTTCATGGCACTGTGGTAACAGGCCCAGGTGCCAACAGAGCCCAAACAGGGCTGGCAGGGGCCCCTCCCACTGGCCTGTCACCCCTCCTGCCTGTGTTCCCAGAGGAGCTGGGGGTGGGCAGTGATGGGGGAAGCCCCAGGCTGGAAGCTTCCTGGGAGGGGGCCTGAGATCTGATGGTTCTGGAGGGACCCCCACTCACCACCCAGGCTCCAGGACAGAACTGGGAGTTCCTGAAGCCTGGCCATTCACCCCCAGCCTCCCCCAGCACGTCCACCCCGTGTGAGTGGTCGGCCTAGGACCCTAAGATGGGGGCAGATGAGGCTGTGGCTGAGGGCCCTGCCTGCACCTGCGCTCCTGGGTCAGCCCCACCCCTCGGCCCCTCCCCCCAGCCTGAGTGAAAGGCTGATTCACCACCCGCCCACAGGGGCCCCACCAGGGCCCCTCCTCCCGCCATGCACAATGGAGTCCGTGTCCCTGAAGGGCTGGCGCTCAAGGGGGCAGGAATCTGGGGTCAAGCATCCCTGGACTGCAGAAGAGTCCCTGCCCCCAGCACATGGCCATGTCCAGGACCAAACAGCCCGCACCCCTGCCCCAGTGCCCACCACTGCCCCTGTGCATAGCAGCCCTTGGGCAGGGCAGGCTGGAGGCCCAGGGCTGTACCAGACCCTGCCAACCCCTGGCCGGCCCCCAGGCCCAGGAGAAAGAGGTACATGGACCTTTGGCCCCACAGCACAGCCTGGGACGCAGCCACAGGGAGTCCAGGGCCGCACACTGCGTCTACCCCACCGGCCACTCCCAGCCCCGTGCTGCTCCCACTCCAGAGCTGAGTCTTCCGGTCTCCCTGGCGCCCCCAGGTCACACCCAACACCCAGCACCTGGGCCCCGGAGGGAGGCCACCCCGTCTCCCCACCCAGCCCTCACCTGAGCGCCCAGGCTGCTTGGCCATGGGCAGGGAGACCTCCGTGAGTGGCAGGACGTACACGTCGGGCCCGTTCTGTGCCGCCGTGGCTGGGGAGCCCTGTGCCAGGTCAGCCGCATACTCATCCCCCTCCGCATTCTCAAACTCCTGCGGGCCGGGCCGGGCGTGAGCAGGGCTTCTCGAAGGTCCAGGAAGGGTGTGGCTGGGCCTTTCCAGGCCCCTTTCTTCCAGGGCCGAGCTCCCAGGGCAGGACAGGAGAGGGTACTTGGCCCAGAATTGGAGCCCCCACCCCTGCAGGCTAACGGCCCAGCACCCCTGCTAACTGCCCTTCTGTCTCCTCTTGCTGACCCCCACGCCCCCCACTAGGGGCTCCGTTGTCCCATAAGGGGCCAGAGGCAGATCCCAGAGCCAAGAGGACCCATCTTAGACTCCAGAAAGGGTGTGATGAGCTGTAGGCACCAGCGCCTTGGCCTGGCCTCAGTTCCCCCATTGCTCCCTGGTGGGCAGCCCAGGCTGAGCCCCACCTTGGGGCCTGAGGGCCTAGAGGCAGGGAACCAAGGGACCGAGGTGAGGGCACTGAGGCCAGCTGGCCCTGCCCATCCAGAATCAGCCCCCAACACCTCTCAACCACCCGCATCCCCAGCAGCCCCTCACCTCAGGCCCTGCCTGTGGTTCCACCCTCCCATGGGGCAGCTTCGGGGACAGGAATTCCATCGCCCCCTGTCCCACAGTCCTGTGGGAGAAGCAACTAAGCAACCCCCTCACTGCGGGGACAAGGAGCATTCCTGGGTGCCTGGGAGCCCAGAGCCCACCTGCCACCGCCATCCACCCCGACGGACCTGGACCTTTGCCTGGTGGCCACACCACCTCCGGAGCTCCCAGGACTCCTTAAGAGCCTGGCCCCGTGCAGCCTAGGGCTGGGCCACTCCCTGCCAGGCTGCTATTTTGAAATGCAGAGGCCACACCTGTACAGGGGAGACCCCACCCCCAAGTCCAGGGCACATTCCTGCTCTGAGAGCCAAAGTCTCCAAAGTCCTGGGCCAGCTGAAAGCAAAGGCCCTGGGCACACAGTGACAGCCGCAATCCCCGAGCACTCGGTACAGCCTCTCTGCCTCCTCACAACTCCCAGTGCCCCGGTGGGGAAACTGAGGCTCGGATGGGTCAAGGGACTTCCCGCTGGATCCTGGCCAGCACCCGGGCTGGTGAGTCCGAGGACAGGCAAGTGCAGTGGGAGGGGAGGCCTGGGCTCCTCACACACTCCGTGTGACCCTGGGGACGCCGCCCTTCCCTGGGCTGCAAAAAGGGGGGGGTGGGTGGCTCTGTTGGTATTCCCGCAAGCCTGGCCCAGCCTGCACTTCTGGAGCACACGGGGATGGGGGATGGGGGATGCAGGTGCTGTGTGGGCAACTCCCCCTCCCCAGGACCCAGGAGACCACCCCAGAAGCCCCCTCTTGGCCCCCCAATCCCAGCCCTGGCCCCGCCCATCTGGGCTTTGTGGAGGGGCCCAGGTCACAGATGCCATCTCTCCCTGGGGTCGGGCCCGGGCTCCAGGCATTACCTGCTGCCCGGGGGCCGGCCGGGTCCTGCCGATGCAGCGTGCAATCAGGTAGCACAGGGTCAGCATTGGGGGCCTGCCCAGCCCCTTCCCCCAGCACAGCTCCCCACCAGGGAGTCCGGCACAGGCCCCCAAATCCCAGGAGGGAGCCCAGTGTGGAGGCAGGACTTCCCAGAGGCACGCTGGCGCTGGAATGTTCCGGGCACCATGTTCCCAAGGAGGTGAGGAGGGCGCAGGAGGAGGAGCTGTGGCCAGCCCTTGTTTGGGGCCTTGTTCTTACAGTGCCCTGAGGAGGGGCCACTGATACAATAGCCCCACATGTCCCACCCAGGCCCCACCTCCACTCCTGCCCCCGCCAAGACCTTGAGGCTGTGGCCTCAGGATGCCCAGGAAGGCGCCAGCGCGGCCTGGCCCGGCCCCTGGTGCCAGCAGGTCCAGAGGCACGTCCCCAGGGCAGGGTAGGGGCTCTGGGCAGGAGCGCAGACCCCACAGCCTGGAGCCACAGCTTTGCTGCCCAGGCCCGCAGCTGCTCATTGGTTGACGGAGCCTAGGCCACCTCAGAGGGCTCTGGAAGGGTGAACGGGCTGGAAAATGTGGCCTTTGGAAAAGGCAAAAAGGCCACATTCAGCACCGTCACCTTCCAGGCCAGCGAGACAGGTGGGCAGGGCCAGATCCTTGGCCCACTCTGCGTCATGACATACCGGGGCAGGGAGGACTCTGGGGCTGTCTCCAAAATGGGGGTGACGCTGGTGGGGGCACGGGTCACTTTGTAGAAAAACGCCCCTGAGATATGGACGGGGTGCTGTGTGCGCCGCAGAACGAAGCCTCCCCCCTCCCCCTCCCTCTCTGACTTCTCCTGGCGTAAGAATCCGACCTCTGGCCCAGGGATGGGGCTGACCCCCGTGGGGGTGTGAACCACCAGAGGTCCAGGCCAGGGTGTCGTTTGCTCTTCAGCAGGAATGGGGCCCATGGAGACTCCGGGAGGGGTGGGCAGTGCTGCCCGGGGCTCTCTCTGCCTGGCCCTCCCTGCTGCTCGGAGTTACAGTTGGAAGTGGGCTGGGGGTTGACAGTGGGAGGAACAGTGCTCGGCACCTGTCCTTGGCTGGGGGCCTTGGCCTCCAGAAGGGCAGCCTAGTGAGGCCAGGCCTTGCCCTTGGTGATGCTCCCTAACCAGCAGGCAGGCTCCAGCATCACACACCGCCCCTCCAGAGGGCAGAAGATACCCCAGGCAAGGTGACAACTGGTGAGAAGGTATCTGTGCGGGGAGCTTGTCTGGGCGGCCCGGACTTCCCCTTGCAGGTTGAATTCGGAGGGATGTGAGGGCCCCCTGCAGAGGCAGCTCCTTCACCAGGAGTCAGGGGCCTCTAGGGAGGCAAGCCCCCTCCCACACCAGCTCCAGAGTCCCCGACGCCCCCTGAAAGGCTGTCCTCAGCCTCCACGAGTGCTCAAGCCCAGCCCCAGGCTGGAGTGGGAGCATCAGATCACGCCCCAACAGACGGCTTCAAAGTCAGGGAAGCTGGGGCAGGTTCCTGAGGAGGAGCTATGGAGTCCCTGGGCCAGGGTCCACGTGGTCCCCAGGTGGCCCCGCAGCGACTACGGCCACCTAGCAGCCACCTTGGTGGCCCTGGGAAGGACAGAAGCTCAGGGTCAAGTGGACGCTACAGGCCTTGCCTGCGGGATCCCACAGCAGCTCCCGCGGCCCCCAGGCCTCACCTTGAACCCGATGCCGCCCTTCTTACAGCACAGGCAGGCCAGCATGAGGACGATGACGGCGAAGAGCCCGGAGAAAGACACAGCCACCACGGCGAGGGAGGATGGCCAGGACAGCTCGCTGAGCGGGGCACCGTCTGCGGGAGAGCAGCGCAGTGAGAGTGGCCATGGCTGAGGGCCGGCCAGGCCCCTGCCCCTGCTCCAGGCTCCGCAGCCCCAGTCCAGGCTGGGCCTCAGCACCTTGACCTCTCGCCCCAGACCCCACACCTCACAGTGTGGTGAGCAGGTGGCCAGAGCCTGCAGTCAGTCACTGGATGCCGCCCCGGCCTTGCCAGGGGGACATGGGGTTGGCAGAGTGGCCAGAGCCTGCCCAGTTCCCAATTCTAGGGTTCACAGATACCCCTCTGAGAAGTCAGGGTCTCAGGGGCTACAGGGGGACCCCCATCTCCCTCCCGGATGCCGGTCACCCGACCTTGCCCCTCTGGGGCTGGGAAGGGACATGGACTCCTCAAACACAGGAGACCATGTTGCTGGCTGCTATCTGCGGGCCATGCATCAGGCTCCGGACAGCGAGGGCTCAAGGCTCTTCCAGCCTCTGAGGTGCGGGGACCTCACTGTCCCTGAGAAGGTGGTGCTGCCTCTGCTGGGCAGCAGGGCTCCTGCGTGCCTCCAGGCTCTCCCCTTGCCAAACCCACTGCCAGGCCTCTGGTGCTGTTTCTGTCCTGGGAACCGCGGGGAAACCCCCTTCTGCAGTTGCTGGTCCACGGAGCCCCTCATCTCAGAGGGAAACTGACAGTACAGCGTCCCTCCCAACACCCGAGTTTTGAGCTGAGCCCGGCTTCCAAATCAGGACAGCTGAGCTGAGCCAGGCTTCGAGGAAGCTCGGTCCATCTGCTGCCCACAGGATGACATGGTGGGGGCCAGCCTGGGTGTCCCCTGGGCAGGGGAGGGCACACTGACCCGCTGGCTCCATCCCCTGGGCCTGCCCCATCCCACCACACCCAGCTCCAATCTGTGCCCTTCCCTAAAAGCTTTCTGTCTGGCCATCCTCCACTTGGCCCTGGAGATTTCCTGGCCACCCCCAGTGCCTCTTGCCACTGAGCACCTCCAGCTTCTCAGCTCCCCAGCTCCCAACACCCCTCAACACCCCACCTCCTGGCCCAGCACACCCCCAAAGCTGTTGTCATCTCTACCCCACTGGACCAGCGATGAAACAGGGTCAGCGGGAGCAGGGTTGCCCAAGGTGGCACAGCTGATCTCGCCTGGCCTGCTCTGCCAGGGCTGCAGGCTAACGGGGCATCTGGGAAGGCTGCCTGGAGGTGGCGTGAGCTAGAAGACAGTGAAGGCACCCTGGGCTTCCTGCTCGGGTCTCCAGGTTGTTCCCCACACCCACACACGGGGAAGAGAGGACCCAGGACGGCTTGGAGTGAGGACCAGACAGGGCTGTGGGGACAAGGAGGCAGGGGCGGCCCGCAAAGCAAGACCCGGGTTACTGGGGCAGGAAACCAACTCTGCCGCATGTGGAGAAGAGCCAACGGGTGGGGCCGTGAACAGATGTCGTCCCAGGCGAGGTTTCCAGGATGTGCGTGTGTGTCATGCGTGTGAGGACACCCCGCACACCGGGTAAGCCCCTCTGTGTTCTCACACCCGTACGGCAGGAACACAGGCAGAGGCTCACAGGCACTCAGCAGGCCCCGCCCTCCGAAGCAGCCAGTGCCTTCTGGGACTGCGCGTTGCCATGGTGCCCATCTCCCAGGCTCCATCTGGTGCCTGCCTGGCATCGGTCCACACCCCTCTGCCACCCTCGCCCACGCCCTCCTGGCCCGTCTCCTGGCGGGCCTTTCCCTCATGGGACACACTGGGTGAGTGAAGGAACCTCTCTGTGGCCTTTTGGGGCCAGGATCTGGACTTCTGTCCTCAGAGCCGGCAGAGCCCTGGGGCTGGACAGGCCACCTGCTGGGCAAACGGCAGCCCCAGGAGGCCCGACCTCAGCCTCCCCCTCAACCTCCCCTTCGGGCCCCTCAGCCACCCTGGGCTCCCCCACCCCAAGACCCTATCCACCCCCCGTCCTCCCCCGCACTGAGGCAGCTGGCCCTGGGGCATGGCCCTGCTGGGTCCCCTCTCCCCTCTAGAAGGCCCCGATCCCAGTGCTGGGCGGCCATGGGGGGTCATTCAGCACCACGTGCTGACTCAGTGGAGGGCAAAGGTGGGCAGGGGCACTGGGCAGGCCTGCCCATGAGCACAAGGCCACGTCCCCTGAAGGTGGATGTGTAGGCGTGGGGGGTGGCCACACAAGCCAGCCAGAGCCAGAGGGTTGCAAGGAGAGGCAGCACACAGGCTTTCCAATCCACAGAAACAGTCGGTTTCTGGAGCCCCTGCCAGCGCCCAGAGCCGCAGAAACCACAGTGGATCCCATCTGACAGCGGCTGTCTGAAGCTCCACCCAGAGACCCTCCCTCATCAGAATCACTACCACCCCTGCGGGGCGCGATGACTCACACCTGTAATCTCAGCACTTTGGGTGGATCACTTGAGGTCAGGAGTTCGAGACCAGACTGGCCAACGTAGTGAAACCCCATCTCTACTAAAAGTACAAAAATTAGCTGGGCGTGGTAGCACAAGCCTGTAATCCAAGCTATACAGGAGGCTGAGGCAGGAGAATTGCTCAAACCCAGCAGGCGGAGGTTGCAGTGAGCCGAGATTGTGCCATTGCACTCCAGCCTGGGCAACAGAGTAGGACTCTGCCTTAAAAAAAAAAAAAAAAAAAAAGAATTACTGCCATCTCACTTTGCAGATGAGGACACTGGGGCCCATGGAAGTGAGGTGGTTTGTCCAGGACACCAGCGAGTCCAGGCCCTGTCCTCATGTCCACGAGAGGACCCTGGACAGAGGAGGGGGTTCCCACAGCCTCTCAGCCGCAGGTTGATGGCTCCCTCAGGCCCATCTGCTCTCGGCCACCCTGGCACCCACAGCCTAATGCACCCACCACCACCTCTGCATTCCCAGAACCTTCTCTGTGCCCTCGTCAGAGGCACCTGCTGCCGGGGCCCCACTGGCTGTCAGCTTGCAAGACAGACCACGCTCTGACCCCAGATGCCAAGGGCCAGGCCTAGTACCCTGGGCACCATGACAGTTGTAACAATCCAGCACACATAGGTGCCCACATATGTGCATGTGTGAAAACACATGAAACATTCATGTGCACACACATGAAAACACATGAAACATGCATGCACACGTAGCATGCATGCAACCATACCTGTGACCGTGTGCACACACTGTACACGGGCCAAGACATGTCATGCACAGACGTGCACACGTGCATATGCATGTGTACATACCACACACACACATCCACATGTGCACATACATAACCACACACGAGCATACCCACACGCACACACCCACATGCACACCCACATATGCGAGCCCACGCCCCCACACTGGCGCGAACACACCTACACATGCAAGCACACACACACGCACACACCAACACAGGCACACGCACACACCCACACACACGCACACACAACACACATGCGCACACCCACACACACACACACGCATGTACACCCCCACACAGGCATACACACATGCACACACCCACACACACACACACCAGCATGCACACATCCACATGCGCACACAACCCCCACACGTGTGCAAACATACCCACACACATGCACACACATACACGCATCCAGACATACCCAAACAGGCGTATGCACACACACCCACACACACGCACACACCAACACACGTGCACACCCGCACAAACACACGCATGTACACCCCCACACATACACACATGCACACACCCACACGCACGCACACACCCACACCAGCATGCACACATCCACATGCGCACACCCCACACGTGTGCAAACACACCCACACACATGCAGACACACCCACATGCACATGCATGCATGTGCACACACACGCATCCAGACATACCCAAACAGGCATATGCACACACACCCACGTGCGAGCACACATGCGCATGCACACACCCACACATGCGCATGCACACACCCACACATGCGCACACACACGTGCGTACACACCCACACGCACATACCCATACACTCGTAGACACAGATACCCACACGTGCGTGCACACATGCACACACACATACCCAGACGCGCACATAGCCACCTGCACCCACACACAACTCCACAGGCGCACACATGAATGCACACATGTGCACACACATCCCCTGACTCAGTCCCTACTACCGGCCTGCTCAGTATCATCATCCTCAGTTTACAAGTATGAAAACCGAGGTTCAGGGATGTCACAAGCACACCCAAAGGGTGGCCCGGCTCTGCCAGCTCCATACCCTGCTCCAGACGCCACGCCTGCCCCTCCACAAGCCACGCGAAGGCTCCACTTATTTCCTTGG